TTCTTCTTCTTCTTCTTCTTCTTCTTCTTCTTCTTCTATGTAGTATTCGCTGCGTTATATGTGGCTCGATCAACTTCGGACACGACTTGCCAACTCAAAGATCTCATATCGACTGACCTAGTCATTGCCATTCGTCGCTTTATATAGTCTGTACAACCGCCGCTGTACGTGCGAAAGTACTTACACTTTATTGGAGGTGACTGTACCCATGTTATTGAACTTACGTATAGACATCACTAAAACATCGACACGCACTTTGTCAACGATAGGTCGAAGACAGTCTTAAAATTTAATTATTGTTTTGGGTCGAAACCATGACAATATTTGTATATGTCGTGGATATACTACCCTCGTAAGAACGTAATGTTTATTTTTTCATTGTAAGAGTTCGATATTTTCTTTTCTTATTCATTATTCATTTCCTGCTTCTTCAATACACCGGAATTAATTTGTCGCTTGGACATGTATATCGATATGACTTCGTAGTGCACTTTGTAGTGAACAACTTAGACGGACGAGTACAGCAATGAATCTGTGTCTCTGATAGTCAAATATTGTGATCTTATTTCGATATTCGATTGGAATTTCGAACCGTTTTTAAAACATTCACGGCTAGGAACAACTTAAGGCCACGTTTTACAAATAACTATTATATGTAAACAGAGAATCCATTACCTTCAATTTAATTTTTTTTTGTAAGGTAAGACATAATAATTTAAACAATACTTTCGTCCAACAATTACTGAAATGTTATTTTTTTTTTACACACTGGCCTTCTCTTTCCTTTTTTTTTTCAAATACAATTTATTTCCGTACTCACGGTTTTATCCTCGTCGCCAATGTATTTTGAATTCTGAATTTCTTTAGAATAAACTACTTCTGTTAATTTCATTTGACACTTTGCATCAAACCATTTTTCAAAATTTCATCATCAGTCGCGGATGACAGATATTAGGTAGATAAAATCAACATCAAATTTAAGTTTGTCATCATATATGCTAGTTTGGTCTCGTGGCCTTACCGTTCGCCGCCGTTGGTACGTAAGGTCTCAGAAACCCACGGTTAGTTAGACTATTTTTAATTAATTAAATCGTTAAAGCTATAATAGCATACTTGTTTTGTAAAATTGAAATATATTCGGATATGGTTAGTTATTTAACTAGCTCATGCCCGCGACTTCATCATAGCGAAATAAAATCAATTAGTAAGCCTATGTATTCCAGACTGTGTTCTTTATATTAACTTATTTCATCAAGATCCATGTTGTTCTGGAGATACTTTCTAACAAACATCCATCCATATATTCATACATCCAAATATTCGCATTTATAAAATAAGTAAGATTATAAAATATGTTACCTCAGGCGCAGCAAGTGGCGGTGCGTCTGGAGGGCGACGTGATAACAGCGGACGGTGCGGTGCTGCGCGGAGTAGCGCGGGGCACACGTCTGCCCGCCGCACCGCACAGAGACAGACCTGGTTAATATAGATTTACTAATATACCATAACAAATAAGTTCCTGGCTTGTAGGATATGGTTTACAACATTAATCGAATGGCGGGATTCAAACTCTCGACCACGTGGGAAATCCGTACCCTTAACTATTGAGCTATTGGCGCTCTGAATATCTTCTATTTATAAATGTTAATGTTATTGTTTTCATAAAGAAGGGGTATTAAAAAGATTCGAAAGTAAAGTGCATGTTTGCGTAAATGTATAAATTTAAAAGCGAAAGAGGAGTGTCAGGACCGAGCAAAATGTTCCGTGGTCTCTGCCTACCCTTCTGGGTTACGGGCGTGAGATATGTCGTTGTTAATTATAATACTTTTGATAGTGACATCATATTAAAAAAAACTGCGACCCACGGGAACATAACTTTCGCGTTTATTATATTAGTAAGAAGTAGGAATAAATATATAGCGTGTTCTAAAACTACTAGACTTAGATTATAAATAAACTTTGGTAGCGTGTTACTACTAGAGAAGATATTTTTTATTGCAATTTTGATAACAAAACAATTTTTTTTTTCAGTTTTAATTTAAAAAATGCATTATATAAGTCTGTACAAATGAATAAATAAAATTGTAAAATATTTCCAGGTGACACATCAATGATACCGCTGTATATAGATGAGGACTACGCCCCGAGCGTTTGCAGCTGTTCCTGTAACTGCTTTGCTCCTAATAAGTAAGTTTTAATACACATTGATACTTCAATATTTAATATGGTGAAAATAATATTTTGCTGTGAAATTATGTAAATACTTGCTGTCGCCCTCAACTCCGTCCGCGCATTAAAAAAAAAATAGTCTGTATGTTCTTCCAGACTATGATCTGCATCCATGTCAAATTTCAACAACATCCAGGTAGCCGTTTTGGAGATACTTTCTAACAAACGTCCATCCAAAGATTCACATTTATAATATTAGTAATATTAAAAAAAATATGAAATTTATATTCCAGATCGATACCATATAGAGATCCCCTATCACCAGTACCACCAACAAACATCAAGCAAATAAAATCCAAAAACTACCGCGAGCTGGGCGGCTTACCGCGATACATAGAGAAATCATCTTCCAAGAACAGATCTCAGACTCTTCGTCTAAACTCAGCATCCGGATATCTTTATATGAACGCAAGAAATGACTTTACATTAGATCCAGACGACTTTAGAGAAATGGTCGCAAAGAGACGAGAACAATTAAGACGAGGCGTTATGATGTATGAAATGAGATGCAATGAAGAACAATATCTAAATCCTTACAGAAACAGTCTCAGCACCAGGATGGAGACCAGCCCTCATAGTTCTTCACTCTATTCCATGAATATAAGATCAGATAATCGAAGCAACGATCCTTTAGTCGATGATTACGATTCCGAGAAATCGAGTTACGCTAGAAAGAAATTAATGAAGAACATAGCTCGGAATACAAGGAACAAACGTGTAGAAAATTATTTCTACGATGACGCTGTTCTACATTTCGATGACGAATACGCATTCGATGGATCGATATTATTCGCGAAACGGAGAAAATCTATTGAAACGAATTGGGACGAATTTGCTTGTGTTATGCCAAAAAATCCGGCTTACGAGGACCAAATCTCAAATGACGGTAGTTGTGGATATTATCTACCGGACGATGATCAACAGTACTTCGTAAATGACACCCTTACCTTCAACATGCCACCGCACAGAGCAAGTATATAAGTGCCAAAGACTTTGCCAAATTAGTTTTAGTGTTATTGATACTAAAATAAACGGGCCAATTAAATATAAATATGTTAGGGAACTTACAATTTTGCTGTAGTTTTGAATATTTTGAAAGTTATAGCATTTTTTTAAGGGTGGGTCTAATGCTTCGCTTATGTACATGGTTTAGATAAGGGATGTGAGAATTTTGATCTTTATTGGAGTTTCATATATATCATAAAACATGTGTTCATATGAACATTATTATTTCTTACCTGTATGTGTTATAAAATACGTCAAAATGTATTTCAACTTTTGTGCCAAAAATGCAGTAAAAATGCCAAAGAATATTTTATATCCTTATTTGTTAATTATATTTTAAGATATTAGTGCCAAATTTTAAATTTTGTTTCTTGTTATGGTTGAAAACTCATTTGGTAAACTTTATCTCTAAGAGCAACATGTTTTATGTCGTTTTTTCGTTGGAGATAAAAAAAAGTGATCCATTAGGGGTTCAAATTTTTTCGCTCCGAAGTACGGAACCCTAAAAATTGTTTGAGCTCAAAGCTTTGCAGTGGAACTGTTGAATTTTTATTGTGCAAAGTGTAACAATTTTATGTTATTCCATACTAACTTAAGTTTGGCGACAAATTTTGTTGCACTAAATAAAAAAAAACTAATGTTAATTTGTTATAATTATGCCTCAAAGGACTGATTTTATGTTTTTAAAATTCTATTGACTAGTGCCAAATTGTAAAAAAAAACGCGTTTACAAGGTCTGTTGCATTTATTAAACACAGGGTAAAAATTCAATCTCCGATTAATGATCCCGTGGCAATGAAGTTAGCTGCATACTCGCTGAGTGAGCGAGATGAACATATAAATGAAAACATACGTGTGACAGAGAAGACACGATCAATTGCGGTCTAACGCGACTAAGTTCAGACGAACACATTTGTGACGCGTATTATAGTAATTTTAAGGTTATGTTAAATCGACATTAAATATTACATTTAGTAGTGTAAGATCTGTCTTGTGTTCTTTCTGGTATGATCTATGTTGCCATTTTATTCAGTTTTTTATATTTCAGTTATAATATGAAGAAATTTTTATATTATTGAATTTCGTTTGTTTTTTTTACAATACAAAACATATTAGTAGAAATCTTATTTGTATAAATTATTGAAATATTCAAGAATTTCAACAAAATACCTTGAAATATTGTCTTCTTTATGTAATTTTGTGCAATATTACTTTATTTGTAGAAAAGCACTGATATATTCCTTGTAGAAATTTATTATTTAAAATATTGCTTCTAGGTTAAGGATAAAAATATAATCTAAAAAACTTTACTTGGAGTTTTAGACTGAATACAAATTTAGTTGGAGTCTCTTATTTTCATAGTTATCGACCTGTCTTATGCTCAATATTTTATTTTATTATAAATAGAATATTGCTTTGTGATAATTTATCTAGTCGTTCAAATGATACAGTATTAAAACTATTTTATATTAACTTAAGACTTATCTAATTATTTATGTTGTAATAAGAGTTATAGTCAATTTTATTTTATTTTAATATGACGATGACAAAGGCGTTGCAAAAAAAGTGTTGTTTCACTTTTTTTATTTATTTATTTTTTTATATTTCATCTTTCTTTTCTAATTTATGTCATTTGCTCAATTTTATGTCAGTATTATTTTGATTCTGTGATTTTATGTTATAATTTTCAAAATCTGTATATGTAATTAATTTTTTGAATTTTTAACATTGCTATTTAAGAGTTGATTTTAATTTTTTTGTTCAGTCTAAAAGTGATGTTTTAAACTCGGTGAATTAAAATAACAAAACCTTAATTATAATATTTAAAAAGGAACGTGTAAAAATCGAATATAAACAAATGAAGTTGAAATAACAATAATTTAGTTATATCATGATGTTCATAGTTATAAGGGAGCTATTACATGTGTAAAAAAAACCATAGACTCCGTCAGACATTTTATTAGAAAAGTTACAAATTTATTTACCATGATGGTATTTTTCTTTATCCATTTTGTGTTGTCATTTACAACCTCTTTACAATAAAACTTTTTTGTTCCTGTGCAAAAGATATCACGTTTTCTTCCAGCTTAAGTAAGCTAACTGGTTTTAATCTTGTATTTATTATGTATGGGAATGTATGAGAGTCCTGCAACTAGTTTAGAATAAGTATTGAATGTGTGAAGGCAGATCGTGCTGAACTAATACGATCAACTAATTGTAATTTATAAAATGAATGAATTGTAACATAAATCGGATTTAATTAAAAAATACACTCGATATGTTTGAAAATTTATTTTCCCAAAGGTCCTGCTTGTACATTAAAGCTTTCCTTGTTTTATGTAATGTGATACCCACGAACCCAAAATATGACTTAAGTTACTTTGCGTTACTTGAGTTAAACTAAATACTAAAGGAGAGCAATAAGTAGTTTGTGGACTCATTACTATTTTCAGAAAAAAAAGTAACTGCTAGAAAAACGTGATTAAAATTGTTTTTTAACACCATCTAGATTTTGAAAAAGGAAATTATTTTTGATAATTTCAAATTATGTCAATAGATGGCTTTGTTTGAAATTATACAAGATAGGAATTACCAATTCGATATTTTGTGCGATCTGAGTATTTCTGTGATTTGCTTAGCGCAGGACTTTTCTATTTCCTTATTCAATATTATCTTTAAGAATAATACAAAACGAATGATATTCATATTCCTTTACAGTTTTTTTTCTCTTTGAAGAAATTGATTCTTTTGAATGGTGGTAATGCCAGATTTAGGTTTCATAATTATCCATAATCCATATTTATGGAGTATGGATGTAATAGTTTACAATTTGATTTCGAAAGGTTAGGTATTCGATAAATTTCACAATCGGCAAGTGACATAATTTATATAATAATATGGAAAGCAGCCAAAGATTGCTTACAGTTTAAAGTTTGAATTTATAAATAAAATACAAAATTGCTCGGAAACGCTCAAAGCAAAAGGAAATATAAAAGCAACGATTTAAACGTAATTCAAGATGAAAATGGAAACAAAACTGGGCTTTTGAATTCTCGGAATCGTAATAAATTCGAGACGGAGCGGGCTTTTTTAGAAATTCACTAAGAATTTAATAAACGCTTAAGAGAGCACACTGTTATTTTCCTTTGAAAGTGGCCAAAGAGAATAGCAAAAGAAAAATGAGAAAGGTGGGTGGGTGCCGCCCCCATACCCCGCCGGGCGCGCACTTTGAATAAAGAAAAGTTAAAATTTTCTTAAAACACCCCCCACTGTTGCGGGGCGAGGAGTGGGCGCTATCTATCTTCGTTTAAGTATTGGCAAAAATGAACCCCCCCAAGGCTGCGCCTCATTCCCACCCTAACGGTGTCATTGGTTGATTTTTCAAAGATTCGATTCAGGGTCGGATGTTTTTATGAATTAATTCTTGATTTTTGTCAAGGTAATAAGACGTAAGAATATTATGTTAATAGTACAGTAGTATTGTTTTAACACAATCAGATACCAATGTATACATGAACAAAACTTATGTTACGTTAAAAGTAATTTAAAATGTGCCTAAAATAATTTAACATAGTGTTCACTAAAAATCATGAGGAAGCTATATGTTTTTGTTACTTACTGTTAACTTTTAACGATATTTGAAAGTACAACAAACAAGCAATACAGATTTTGACAAATGAATAAAAATCTATTATTTAAATAATCTTTTCTAAACATATTCGTAAACATTTGATCGTCACACAATTACAACTGATAGGTTTTGTTATGTCAAAGTACAGTTAGCAAAATATGACACAATATTTTTACGTACATCTTTGATCTTTTACAATTTACATATGAATGAAATCAAATGAATATAATTAAAATATAGTTTCCTTGTAAAATTCACTTTGTGAAATGTCATGTGTCATTTTATTACTTGTTTTTTTTTATCAGCAGAGGAGAAAATTCGACGGAAACATAACTTGAAGAGTGTAATCTAATACCACGGGAAAACAAATTCGATCCATCTATTATTATATAAAAATATAATTTGTCTGCAAACGCTACGCTCTACTTAACCGAACTTAGCGCGATTTAAGTTATTCGAAGTGAGAAGTTTAGCGATTTTAAGTTACGCCTCGGGACAAGAATTTTCACTTCACTTTCAAACCGCGGCCGTTGGGATCACAATGAGTTATGTGCGCCAATAGAACTTCGATCTCTACGCACAGTTATTAGTCAGATTATCAGATAATTAAAACCCAAACAATATGGGCCTAACTGAAAAAAAATATTAAAAAGTATTACAATTACGTTATATCTTAAACACGTTAACCCAACAAGACATTTCAAGAAATGAAATTAATCAAAATATGATTATGGGTTATGTTTTCGAAATACGATCTTGACAAATTAATAAAGAAGTACTTTCATCAAGCAATTTTGGTGATACATAATTTAAGAATAAAACATATTTTACAAAGTCCATAATAATCACCGGCGGTCAAAGTGTTAAAACACTTTTGGAATAACAGTATATGTTTACAAATACATATTTGTGTGTACTTTTCACCAAAATTGTATAATATGAAACATTTCAAATAATAAATAAAGTTAAACAAACATACAAGGGATTTTTGAAACTAGTTCTAACCAAAAAACTGCGATAATAGAAATTAGTTATTACGACCATAAATTTATATGTGGAAGATGTATAGCCTCTTTAAAATTAAATAACTTTTCCATAAGAATTCGTTATCGATGAGTAAATTTAGTTCAATTATTTTAACAATACAATATTAATCCGTATTTAAATAATAAATACAGTGATATTTCAAGTACACCATTTATCATTTTATATAATTTTGATAATAGTGCGAGTATTCTCGCACTATTATCAAAATTGTAACACATCAGAGTAACATGTTACAGTGTAAAAGTGATTATTTTTTTTTATGTTATAAGCTCTTGGAATTATGTTTACAATAAAATAAAAATTACTTTTAGTCTAATTTTGTATGTTTTTTTTTGCAAATGGACAAAATGTATTTAAAAAAAAAACTTTTTATATACGAAAAATGCTCATGTGATTATCGTTGTTATTTGTCTCAATACTTTAGAAACAATTTTGGAGAATACAACAAGAACGCCTTGGGAGCGTCCGAGCGGCGGAAAATAATTTTATTTAAGTAAAATTGAAAGCGGGCTCGAGTATTTCTTGTACAAATTTTAATATCTCGAGGGGGTAGATACGGCTATTTATATTTTTCCTCCCCATCGTTTCTTTTGGCGATTATTATTCTGTGTTCCGATGGGCCGCGGGAGGGAGGGCCGCCCCTTGGACTCTTTCCTTTTTGCTTCTTAAGTCCATCTTGAGACAGCACAGCGAAATACCTGGAATTGATAATGTCTTCATAATTATTTTTAGAATGTTCGAATTGATTTTACGCTACTTAACGTATACCTGCTTTGAAATTGTTACTGAATCATTACTCCTTACTATATTACAAATGCGAAAATAACTCTGTCTGTCTGTCCTTCTCTCACGCAAAAACTACTTGACCGATATAAATGAAATTTGGTACACAGATATTTTAGAGCCTGAGCAAAAGACAAGACACTAATATAAAACGTAGTCCGGAAGAGCACATAGACTACTATTCTATTTTTAAATTCCGCGCGAACGGAGTCGCGGGCGACAGCTAGTAATTTATTATTTGTGACTTTAGTAAATATTGGCAGTTTATTGGTTCAAAATATAAATAAATAAATGTAAGAAATGGCCATAAAGAAAAATCTATGATCTTTGAAAAACATTACTTTTTAAGGATGTTTACAATCCATTTAAAAGGAAATCTGTAGACATATAACACAATACAGTTTATTTATAGTTTCAGCAAAATCCAATCGTATTCCTATAATTTTTGTTAAAATAAAACTAACGTTTAACGACTCAACATATTGCCCTATTCTCTGGTTCTGTCACTTACCCCTTTTACTGGAAAAAGCGTGGCACCTACCCGGAAGGGGTTCGATATTTAAATATAAGAAGAACAACCCCCTTTTTTCAAGGGGGTGCTGGCCACCCCGCCGCGGATTTATGGATCTGGCCCCGAGATGGCGCGTAATTACTTATCTTTCAAAATACAAATCAATCGCTCTTTAAAACATTCTCGATAACTTCTGTTAAAAACAACAACTTGTAGGTACATCACTAGTCGATCGATACCACATGAAGCCATATAACTAAAAAGGTTATATCTCTTAAAAGATCTGATGAAAGACGTAACTATTTTCGTCGCATAGGTCGACATGTTAGTAACTTTTCGATTGAATTCATATCAACTTTGACGTAGTTCAGGCGAGCAATTGACAAACATTAGTCGTTAAATCTAATCTTACATTTTTCTCTACGCTAATTCCAAAGATCCCATGGAATTACTAAAAAGAAAAACCACAATTTACTGTAATTCTGTAACCTTTCTATGTTTAGGTATAAAAACTTTTAGTTCAGAAGCGCATATTCCTCTAACAAACGACCAATTAAGCGTCAATAGCCTAATGGTTAAGAGTATGGATTTCCGACCACGAGCTCGGGAGTTCGAATCCTGCCATTCGACTATTGTCGTAAACCATATCCTAGCACAAGCCTAGAGCTTCGTTGGAATGGTAAAAGAAATATTAGTAATTTACTAATTAAAAATCTGCTAATATTAAAAAAAATGCTTGTAAGATAAAATTAACCGTTCCACTATTAAAGATCCTAACTAAATGGAATGTTTAATAACGTCCATAATTTTTTATTTCTATGCAATTAAATATTTTATTCAATTTTTTTTATTTACTCACGTTTTATAGCTTAAATAAAATGTCTATTGATCTAATTGTAATTATATTCCACGATAATTTACATTTCTTCAAACACTCATAATTTCACTTACCCCATCGAGACAAGAGGGATGAAGTTACAGAGATGTTTATTATACAAATGCGCTGCTCGTGGAATATTTGATCATCTCTTGAATGATTCCAAAGGGTCGATATTAAGGCTTTAAAGACGTTTTTATTTGGTGTTAGATTTAGATGTCAAGATCTGCAGTACTCAAAGGCATTAAGTGATCGCTAAAGGATCCATATAGAGTAGATTTTTATCCTAAATCTGCTACAAAGGCTTTCTTAAACCTCATAAAAAAAGTTTTATGTAAGTTAAAAATCTATGCTGTTGAAAAGTCACGGGATTCTGTACAGCCATTTTTTAAATTATAATAATTCATCTCAAATTTAACGTGAAACAATTTCAGTAAATAAAAATATGGTTTGTAGTCGTGAAAGATCTCAGTCTGCGTTTAAATTGTTTTATTATACTAAAAGCAATAACTTACAAGTAAACAAACAGCCTTCAAGACGGTAGAGAGAACAAAAATACAATAGTGAAAATAAAACATCTTACTAAAGAGGCTGAGGTAGGCGGGAGGGGGCGGCGCTTTTCTTTTACTAGTCAAAGCTCTCAGCGGGACGTTAGAATAGAGTGGATAATATCGAATTACAACGACAAAAACGAATTTACAAAATAGATTGATTACAATTAGCTGAGAAATTTGATGTTTGTAAATTTGGGATGAAGTTTATTTAGGTCAGTCTTGTCTCTTTGAAACTTTTCTATTGTTACCTGAGCGTCGGTGGCTCAAGCACTTGACTTGCAATCTGCACGTCCTGGGTTCAAAATCCGCCATGTACCTATGAGTTTTTAAATTTCCGATTTTCATATGTAAATTAATCCGACGTTCTTACGGTGAAGGAAAACATCGTGATGCAACCTGCACATATCTGAGATGAAATTCAAAGATATGTGTGTAGTCAACCAACCCGCACTACTAACTTTGGGTAGGCTCTGAGCCCCTCAGTGAGTACGTACAAAGCTTATGAAGAGACCTAAGCTATTGAAAAAGAATAGTTCATGAAACAATCATAGAGTAAATATAAATGAGACTGGACGTTTTAAATAAGATGTTAAAATATCGATCTATGTGGTCTATCTATCTATTCTTATTTTTGCGTGTTACAGATTTCCCATCCCATCTAGAAATACGATACAACTAAAAAATAAAGTATGGTTCTTAAGAGGTTTTGCAAGAGATGAATTTTGACTAGAAGAAACTAGAAGAAGAAAACATTTTATTTCCCCGTCCCTTCCCTCGTCATTGCATCTGAAATTGCGGATATCTATGGGCAGTGGTCTCTTCGCTATTTCGGCGAATTTTTGTGACCACTTTCTCGCTTGCCACCTTATGACATATGTAATAAAAAATTTAGAGTACTTCTGTCTAATATTGGCTGATAATTTTGTGTTAAAAGCATATCCACACTAATCCAGCTCGCAGTTACGTAGCCGGCGAGATGTTTTTTCTCGTTTTATATTAAAATCGGGCGAGTGAAGGAAATTGTCAGACGGATAGGAAATTGGCCGCGCCTCTGCAGTCGTGACCGGTCGACTCTATTGCTTCATAGCTCACAGAATATCATACTTTATCTACTTACTGCAAGAGTTTAAATATTGAATATAATATCAAAACAGAAACACATACTTAAGAATTGTACAGATATGCTTAAATGATTTTTTAAATTTGAATAACTAGCTGTCGCCCTCGTTTCCGTCCGCGGGGTAAAAAAAAACTTAAAAGTGGCCTATGTTCTACATCTGTACCAAATTTTATCAAGATCCGTTGAGCCGTTCCGGAGATACCTTCAATGAAACATCAATCTAAACATTCGCATTTGTAATACTAGTAAGATATTAAGATTAGTTCTCGGATTGTAATATTTATTCGGTATAATGTGTACGATGAGCGAACATACAGGAAATGTCACACTTCATACCAAATGTTTCGGAGCTAATATAATGAAGTGTGTATTATGAAGTATAAAGTGATGAAAATAAACAAAAAGTCATTATATTTAGCGAGTTAAAGTTTATTATATTGTATAAACAAAGAAGTAAATCACTTGTCTTTGAACATGTTATGTTATTATTACTGCTTAAAAACTATCAAAAAACATTAATCTAAACAACATTTTAATGTTTATCATAAATCAAGATACTCACCATCTATTGCATATTATTTTCTTCTCCAATCTTATTGCTGGAGACAGATAGCAACCAGAGAATTAGACCTGCTACTACACTACAATCTTGACTGTTTTCGTCTGTTTTAAAACCAAAGCGGGAGGAGGGATGGTTCAAGTTTTTCTGGTCGTGTATTTATTTTATTTGGAGCGTCATTTCGGCCACGGCTCCCCTTTCTTAGATCGTTCCAGTAGGGCGTCCACTCAGATGTTTTTTTTTTCTGAAAAATAAAAGAAGCACCATCATAAATTAAATTTAAAGTAAATTAACTGAATGTGCCATTTAACAGTGGAAAAGTTACATGCATTGTACATTACAAGCATGTGTAATTAGACCATCTTACTTCTTACTAATATTATAAATGCGAATGTTCGGATGTATGGATGGATGTTTGTGAGAAGGTATCTCTAGAACGGCTTAATGGATCTTAATAAATTTCGCATTGATGTAGAGAACATAGTCTGTAAGAACGCATTAGGCTACTATTATAATTAAATTATTTTTTAAATTCCACATGGACGGAGTCGCGGACGATATACTGGCTGTAAAAACATAATAAAAAAGTCTTTCTCTCCCTATTTTTTTACCATTGTAAGACTTGTTTGTTGTCTTTACTAATTTTGAATTTCTGTAATAAGGTAAAAAATTGAATAATTTATGAAAATATGAAAATTATTTTTTATCCGTCGTGTACACCCTAGCGCCCGGTCCAGTATCCCATCTTTTTGCGAGACTTTCTTCAAATAATTGTATAGATAACGCGGGACAAAGAAACGAACCCCTTCAGCCTGTCACCCCCCTTGGGGTGGGAGGGAGGACATTTTTAGCGTCTTCGTCCCTCTTTGATCAGCGGTCTGACGACGCTGTTAAATTATCCGAAAAAAAAGATGTCTGCTTACGATAAAAAAAAACACAAGTTCGTCACTAACAAAGGTTAAATTATAACCATACCGACAATAGTTAGTCAAATTAGATTTTTAGTACAGTAAATATTTCTTTCCTTACAGCTGTATTTGTAACATATATTGTAAGCTTCTCGATCCAGAAACTTTAACTATGTCAAATCTCTTTCAACTCTTTGCGCGTAATATTCTTTTAAAAGTTAGCGAAGTCTTCGCGTTATCTTACTAATAGATTAATAAATTATAAATGCGAATGTTTAGATGGATGTTTATTTGAGGGTATCTCCTCAACGGCTGAACGGATCTTGATGAAATTTTGATCTTGATGAAATATAGTCTGGAAGAACACGCAGGCAACTAATTAAGGTATTTTAGTTTCACTCCGATGGAGTCGTGGCTGACAACTAGTCTTTACTTTTATTGTGCTCAGGCTTGCGAAATGCGATCTTGACAAATAAATAATCATGTAATTTTTATACAGCAATGTAGTGATACATATAACAAATTTGACGTCCCTTGCATTAATCAGCGGTGGTCAAAGGGTTAAAACACGTGTTTAACTAAACGTTGTATAACTGTTTTTTTCTTGTTTTACAGTTTATGTTTACTTCACAATTTTTATTTTTATTTTAATGCGATCTTAATACTTAAATAAATTAGAAATGTACCAATCTGTAATACATTTATGCTTTCTTTACTCTTAACTTGTTAAGTTTCTGATACGTTGTTTATAACTTCGCAAGATAAACCTGATAACATTAAGATTGATTTGTAGAATATCTTCTAACTATAAGAAAATCAGCAAACAATGTTACATAACTTTCATTAAAAATAAGACTAAACAAGGTTCAAAAAAGTATAACCCTTTCCAAGTAGTATGTCATTACCATTCAAATAAGATTATTTCTGTTATCCCCCCTTTGTAATGAAACACCGATCACCCTCTTTTTTTACTTGGCCGCGTAAAAAAGAGGCATTTATCGAGATAGCCATTGATAGGAAAGAGACGAAAAACGAACCGTCCGTCGAATTTTAATTTTCTTAGTATTTGAATCTTAATTTTTCGCGGGGCGGTCTTCCCTTCTTGTCTCGCGCGGTGCCGGAGATGGTGCCTTTCTTTCACCCCTTTTTTTTAAGGGTGGGGGGTGGCCTTATCTTCCATTGTAGACGGATACCTAAGTATTTTAATTTGTTTCTTGCCCGAGGCCTTCTGTCTGTTTTCTTTTTAATTTGCCTTATTTACAATTAAGTAACGTAGGCTGTAGACATTACGAGAATTCTGTTTACTAAAGTTTTATAATCAAACTTTTATACAACTTTATAAATTTGAATTTATTTTATATTATTTAATCTACATAAAATTTATTTCTATAAACTATTATATGACAATAGAGTTGTTCAAGGAAAGAGTAGGTCTATTAACACGGTACTCCATACACGCATTACGCACGTTGTATTTACTTACACGTGCCTGTCTTCAATACTAAACCCGTGTTTACACTACTGAAATATTTATGTACATCTCTTTCCATGTTTTATATTTTTTCAACAAGTGTTTTTGTATCGGAAACGAACTGTATGCAGTAGGAAACACTCAATAGAAGGTGTTGCATTAATGAGTTGTTCGGGTTATAATTTTTTTTAAACATTTCCGAGTATTAACTATAAGTCAGTCAGTTACTTTATAGATAAATAGTCAGCACAGGTTGGTCACTAGTTAATTACCAAAAGATGGTTTTAAGTCTTGTAAATAGTATTATATTTCAATTCCAAAAGTTCTAACGATCATGTTCAGTTTAATGTAAAAACAAAGTTTAAATGTGCACTAAAACACCTTTGACACCTTTAAAAACTTTTTCCAAATAAATACATAAAAGTTTAAGTGTAAAATTACAAGAATTAGATTAATATTGCATAAAAAAAATCTGCTAAAATATATTAATTTTCATTTCTTAATCTACGTCCAGTTCCAACCTAGATATAACTGAAGGCGGGCGAAGCTGAAATTGTCTTAATTTTTCATCTCGGCGACCGGCGGCCCTCCCCCCGCGACCCCCTCCCTTCCCCCGCCACGATCCCGCTCATAATTGTTTTTAATTTAAGAAGGGAATGAGAAACGGTACTTGTGTTTCTACAAGAAAAATTATACTCGTTACGAGGAAAACCTTGTTAAGAAAAAAAATTAAATAGGTAGAAATTATTTTCAGTACCACGCATATAGTAGCATATACACACTTCTAATATATCTTTTAAAGAAACACGATATAAAGTAACAAATTACTAGCATGTATTATGTTACATACATATATGCTATGCCTCGATGTATCGAAATAGAGAAATCGGAGGTTTTAGAATCGTAACACTTAAAATCCTAAATCTGTCGACTCTCTCTGAGATAGGACCAGTAGTTTTTATTGGTTTTCCTAAATATAAGTTTATTAGTTGCCATGGATATAGTTTAAAAAGGTGCATGAATGTGACTAGTGCATAGCTATTTCGTAGCACATCCGCTACGATTTGAAGACGTACTACGACGTAGTTCTGTTCTACTACGGCTACATGATTAGTCTACGACATAGCTTGTGAAGGCAGTATTTTTATTGTGTTAAATCTTCTGTGCGAAATAAATTTGTTTTGTGTTTTTAAATATAATATTTCATTTAAAAATTACCTAATAGCGTGGTAGGGCGTCGTTCTGGCTAGATTCCAGGGGGCTATGTCTGTCTGCCTCCATCCGTTTCCGGACCTAACTCCCAAAAATATGTTTCAATTTTCCTTTAATGTTTTCTTTGCATTTGGCGTCTTAACAATACCGGGACATTTTATATTCCTCTCGTTAATTTATTACTCCCGACGTAATTATAGTCTGCGGCGAAATTTAATTTATTTAATATTTTTAATTGTTCTGTTATAATTTTATGAACTTATTTATATTTTGTAAAGTTAGTAAGACATAATAATAAGAGTTAATAATAACAAATACTAGTTTACTAATAATATTATAATAGTAATTTATGTCCTATTTTTTATATCATAAGGTGGCAAACGAGCGAGCGGCCACCTGAAATCGCTGAAATAGCAAAGTGACCGTTGCCCATAGACATACGCAATTGCATATTTGATCGACAGAGGATGCAAAGAAAGATAATATTTTAGAATAGAATAGAATATTTGTTTATGTCTAATATTTAAGTCCTAAGTGTAACATTGCAGAAAAAGAAAAATTTTAACACTTTCTATTGCAACTTTTTTTACTTGACGTTTAAGTACATTCTTTATATAAATCGTTACCTAAGGGACGTTTATTATAAAGTTCCAAGTCGAGTTTTTACAAGGGGTCGGCACCCCATTTTATTTTTTATCAGTACTAAATTATAGATGCACGGCACGCGAAAGTACTGGTTTGTTGTGGTATTGAAATTTTCATACATAATTTAAACGAATTTTGTTCAATACATTTTTACAAACAGTAAACAAATGTTGTTTTTATTTATTTTATTAACATTTTATTTTATAATGATTCTTTTACGGTAACAGTTTTTCTTTAATTTCTTATTTACGTTCCTATATAAGTTTCATTGTTTGGAAAAACGATTTTGGTTTTTAATTAAAAACATTTTTATAGAATTTTTTAAAAATTCTTTAATTTTTTATACCTAATAGGAATAAACAATTCCTGTTCCACATGATATTTTTTAATTTATTTGCTATAAATTGATAACAGCTGAAATAATTAAACGCACTTAGGTTTATTTATAAATATTACTTTTTAACTTTTGTATTTTTTTCATATCAAGTAAACCAGTACTTTCGTTACCCTATACCCGATCTGTCCAACCTCCCTTGCAAGGTGGTAACAAAACTTTCGAACTGCGTCCCCCGCGCACGAAAGGGAGAAAAATAAATCTAAATTGGCGCAATCCTTTGAAATCCCCTACTTTTTCTGCCGCCATTTTCGACGAATAATTGCTACCAAGCAACTTAAGAAAGTTCCATTTTATTGGACTGACCTCCGAACTAAATTGAACTTTGTGATAAAGTCGCAAGTTTGATATTTGGAAAACAATTTATACAAGATTTAAAATGGTGATTTAAGAAGTGCATTCGTAGATATATTAATGACTTTTAAATTTCTTTAAAACACACTTTTAAATACATTTGAAACAAGCTGGACTACTAGCCCTACACTAGCAAACATTTTTAGTGCACCTTCACTCTAAAATACTCCGCGGAAAATATTATATTAACAATAGATTCAACCAACAAATTGGTAAAAAAAATATGAGTCAATTTAAAATTATTTCTGAAATGAATTATATTTCAAAGTTACTAGTTATTGTTACTATGTTTCTTTATTAAAAAGGAAGTCATCTTTTAAAATGCCTATGCCCATGAAGGACAGTTTTAACATTATTAGAGCCTTATTGAAACTACGCCGCCGTGTACATCCGGCTGTACCGGAACACGGCTATTACGTCACATCCGGGTAGGCGGAGAGCGCGACCAAGTTCCAAATTAGAGTAATTTTTCACAAAGTGTCTATACAAGAGAAAATGAGGTCACATAGAGAGGTAAAGTAATTCGATTTTCGAACTAGCGGTGAAGTTGATTTATATGATTTTCAATAACGTGAAGTAACTACAAATTATCAAAGACTTTACAAAGGAAGACTGGATATGGCACAGACTAAAAACTACTTTCTTTACTGTATAGTTAAGCAGTTGAATTAGGTTTATTGGGCTGTCGATTGAAGTATAACAAAACTGATGTAATCTAAAGTTATTATATAAATACATATGTATATAATAAGACTTTAGTCTACATAAATGCTATAAAAAAATTAACAAATGTCGAAGGAATATTCTAAAGGGTCATGATAATATTAAACTCCATTTTAAACTCTTTACCCGAAAAGTTTATGGACGAAAATTGAATATTAAAAAGTGTAAAAGTAACACTATTAAAATGTTTGCCACCTCAAACGCAAGGAGTTTTAACTTGGGACGATGAAAAATTCGACTTGCCAACACGGACTGTTGGCAAATTAAAAAGTTTGTGCAACACTTTCGCCGTCAAACTTCAAACTATTTCGCCGCCATTTTGGTTAAGCGTTTAACTTTTTAACATCCACTTTGTCATTACGTTGGGTAATTTAAGCCGCGGACTATGTTTTTGTTTGTAAACAAAATTGATTACAATTTTTGTTTCTTATATATTCAATTTTTTAAATAAGGTTAAGTTTGACTATTTCAAATATACTTTACGCTTAAGTTTTATAACAAATATAGACATTATAATACCTAAATTAAAACTAAATAAATAACAACCTAATTTATATCGTTCGTTTTAACCTGGTCTATGATAATTACACGAAATTACATGTAACTCGAAATCAAATACAAAAAACAATAAGAATACATTCCACTTACGCGCCTGTCTCGACTTATCACGGCCGTGTATCTAAATTACTTCTAACAAGATTGTCTCTAATCCCGGCTGCATTTCCAACTAGACTTCGCTAATCTGCCTCGCCTTTACTCCGCCATTTACAATTCAAACAAAATTAACGACCAATTACGAAAATTAGGCTACATTTGAAATCTTAAGCATAAAGACAAAATTATCCTGTAAAATAGTAAATATTGCTAAGATTCGAAAACTAAAATTATAATAGACTAGCTGTCGCTCGCAATTCCGTCCGCGCAAAATTGAAACATTATTAACTTATGTTTTCTACATATTAACTATGTTCTATATGTATGCCAAATTTCATCGAGATCATTCAGCTGTTCTGGAGATACCTTTAAACAGACATCCATCTAAACATTCGTATTTATAATATTAGTAAGAGAAACATAGCTGACGCTTACTAAATTGTCCGGACGATGAGTTTTCGAACAACCGAAATTGGTATCCAATTATTTGTTTTAATTATTTTTCCATGCAATTTTTATCCAGTTTATATAGTTTATATACCTTTGGGATTGTATTAAGAAAAATCTTGCTTACGTATTTAACTTCGAACAAAACATTGTAATATTTTTGTTTCGTACATTTTAACTGTTACATAATGAGGCATTTATAAACAAATTGTTTCATTTTCACAGAAATTCTCATTCCTTTTAAAATATCTAAGAATTAAAGATAACAAGAAACAAACGGCGTAAAAATATTAATTCGAGGAGGGTGGCCGCCCTCCTTGGTGGATCTCGGAGCTTTTTTGACGCCCACTAGACCTTTTTTCCAAGGGGGAGAGTTTTGCAATTTAAATTTTATCTGTTCATAATGACTGAGACGTTGAATTCAACTGGTCTTAATGCCCCTTTTAGTATATTTCATAAAAATCGTTTTAAGACTACTACAGTCCACTTAAAAATCAAATGTTTCTTTTTCAACAAACAATCACAAGATCGAGAATAACAGTGTTAAATGTTTACAACCTTACAATCTTTTCGCAGCATTTCGGCTGATAAGTTTTATGAGACCAAAGCATATGCGTTGGTTGCCTTTTATAGGATTAGAAAATAAAATGATTTTTATACTTTATAAAGCTAGGGATATCGCATTTAGTAGACGACACACGACGACACAAAATCCGATTACTTCTAACATAAATATATGATAATTATATGTTAATTAACATAAATAGTGTAGTAAAAACGTATTGACATTAATAACTTGTCTGCACGCGGAGGTGAATTTTTCAATTCGCGGCATCCATCACGCGCGAACTTTTGCGCGCCAATTTAACAGTTTAACGTCCGCCATTTGTAATCGACTCGCGAATAAACTTACGCAGTTTCCCGCCGCGCTTTGTTTATGAGAAAATTGTTTCACATTTTGCGTTTTGTAACACAAATTAGACGACACTCGGTGTATTACTCTATGAGTTGCCTAGTTTATTGTAAAGAGAACTAGTTCTCTATAAAAAAGGAAAAACCGGAATATCATTTCGAATTTTGTTTATTAATTTATTATATTTGCAACGCAAGATAGAATACTTAGTTTAAGAAAAACATGCTTTCAAGAATCCGACAAGTTTGAATAAAACAACGAACCTAGTAATTATTGCTGAAACACATAGCAAATATTTGATCATCTTTCTTAACAAAGGTGAAATCAAACGAACGTCTTAGAAATTCATCATTAAAACATTTCTTCCGTTTGCTTAATTAAAAAATCGTGTCGACCGGCAAATAAAATCAATTCCACCCCCTTGGTGCCGGGGTGAGTTTTCCGAGGAGTTTTTCTGCCAGCCCCTTCACCTTTAGACGCTGTCGTAATTATATTTGTGTAATGATTACGAAGTTTTGATGGACTGCTTTAAGCCTTCGCTGAACCCTTTCTCCATTCTATACGTTTATAAAGATATATAAGAGAAAAAATAATATTAATCCATTTGAACTGTATTACAAGAAATTTAGATTAAAAAATGAGTCTTAAAGATGTTCAGTTCGTTGAAAAAGAAATCATTCTTTTCTGTTAATTATTATATTTCATAAATATGTTGTTATATGTTGTACGAATAGAAAAATATATTTAAGAAACATAAAATATGTATAAATCTGCACTATACAGGCATATATACTCTGTGTATAAGACTGATATTAAAAATTAATAACTAATAAGAAATTTCATAGAAAAATATTTAATCTTCCACTACTTCCAAGTTGGCCCACCGCCATGTTGTGCGGGCGGCCCTGAGCCCTGACACCCACTAAGACGCCTACAGAAAAAGCTTTGAATACAAACAAAAATGTCGGCCAATGGCAGACGTCGACGCCGGATAAAAATGTAATCGATTGTGGGGGAGAGGGTGGCGGCAGACATTTTTATATTTTCTCTCATTTATGCAGAACTATAAAATAGGGCAACGTCTTTGAATTCTTTTCAACAAAAAAAATCTAAGCCTACCTTACCGTATTTTTTTATTTGGTCTAGCAAAGGTTTATCTTATAAACATATTTCGTACAGAGAAAAATTCTTTATGTTATTTATGAAGATTGTTTTTATAAAAAAAAAATCATGCGAATAACTAAAAAATATTGACAATTTAACATTCAATTAAATGACATTTTGTAGTTTTTATAAGAAAAGCAAAGGTACGCGAATCATACAGCCAAATTACAAACAGGGTATACAAAAATGTATCAGCCGGTAAGATTTATAAGAAAAAGTTTACTCACTCTGTAATTTTTATAGCACAATTTTATCACAACTATCCAACGACGTGGTCAAAATTCAACTGGTTAGTTAACCCTTTACGTACAGTGGGTCAAAAGCTGTCTTACCGGTTATCTTGTGTTAGGGGCAGCACAAAAGGTAGGAAAGGGTTGACTGGACATAATGGAAGCGACTTCGCATTAAAAAAAAGGTAACGACCACATTGCGCTAATAATAACGGATGGCATTATAATATTTGGACCTATTTAAGTATCCAATGGACTCTATTGTGATTTTTGCGGAACTGACCTAACCGGTTCCGGCGGTTTGTTGGATATCACTAGTGAGGAGACATGTTTGTCGATACGTTGATATAAAAAACATTAAACATTCTGATAGTGGTTAAATCAAGGCTTTAATAAGGTAATTACTGAGTTTAAACTTGTTTAATTTTAATTGTTTTATATAGGTCGTTTTTTTATTATAGATAGTCAATAATATTTTTTTCGTAATAACAAAACTTAATAGTTTAACGAAAGAGATAAATATTATTTTACTTAACAACGTTCTTATTATAATATTTTTAAAGTATAGATCATCATCATCATCATAATAATCAGCTCACTATACATCCCCACTGAGGGGCTCGGAGCCTACCCTAAATTAAGGGTGATTAGACCATAGTCAACCACGCTGGCCAAGTGCGGGTTGGTTGACTTCACACATATCTTTGAATTTCTTCTCAGATATGTGCAGCATCACGATGTTTTCCTTCACCGTAAGAACGTCGAATTAATGTACATATGTTAATCGGAAATCGAAAAACACATTAGTACATAGCGGGATTCTCTATAATCTTTAATTAATTAATAATTTATATTAAGTAACAATTAATCGACATAAATTAAATCAACACTACATTTATAACAACTTTTAATATATCGATATTCGACGTTCCCTAACCCTAACAACTAAAGGGCAGCACGAACGGACAAAATGTAAAAGTACAATTAAAAAAAGGTGAAGAATTGTCCGCAGTGACAATGGAATGAATTTGCATACCGGCATGACCGGTTCTCACGGCTGCAGCCGGTCTGCGCACTGCGCCTAGACGGTATCTTACAAATTAAACAACCCTAGTGATATTCGTAGACACATCTTTGAATCGTAGTACTTTAGTAAAGAAACAAATTTTTATTACTTATATTAGGTATTAGAAATAGGTTTTGTTCTAGATGTGTAGGTTTGAAGCTATGGTTTCTCTGTTTAGTTTTGTTTAGGCGTTTAATTGAATGAAAATAATATTTTTATGTACAAGAATTAGAATAAATTAAAACAGTTATATATTTAAAACAGGTGTTTTTTTGGTATATTATACACCATATTAAACATATGGTGTATAATATACCTATATACAGCGTGTCCCAAAATTCAACGATGAAACGGGGAAAAATACCCCCCGTCTAGTTATCTATCTGGCTATACACCATTACCTTTTTATCGTTGAATTTTGGGACACGATGTATAACAACTGTTCCAATATTTTACGTTATTCATTGACATTATATGTTCATTGACATAAATACGAAAAGTTTTGTGAAAAAGCAAATCATTATATATTCCAAATGTGTTATAGCTAGGAATTTGTCTTTTGGAATTGACAATTATTACTCTATTATATATATAGAAGAAAGTCGTGATAGTTACATTTTTTATTACCGATATGACTGAAAATTAGTGAGGAGGGAGCTTAGAGCCGGGAGACGGACATAGGATACTATTTATTCATTTTTTTTTCGAATTTATGCCTTGAAGATCTGCTTTTTATTTTACTTAAGTCTATATATTAAGATTTTTTATGTGGCGGGCGACAGCTAGTTTCTTATTAAAACAAAAGTCCTATGTTGTCTATCTATCTATATGCAAATGAAAATGATCTTAGAAACGGCTTGACCGATTATGACGCGAAATTCCTGGAATGAAGCTTAGTGTGCGGGAGTAACTTAGGCAATTTTTTTTTTCTTGACGAAGTCGCAGTCAACCTATATCATAATTATAAAGACTTTAATACCATTTGCGGCAGAGTTGTTGAGAGCCTATTGAACTTAAATTGTCTGTTAATATAAAATCAATAATGAGAAATTATAACGAATCTATGAAAACTATTTTTACCTTTATAAGGCTGTAACCATAGACTTTTTATAACAGACATACCTATATCATGAATTTAAACGCTAAAACTTTCCAATATAAAATCCAGTGAAATGTGTGAATATAATTTCTCATATCCAATGAATCCAAGTATTTCCCTGTTTCAAATTTTTGTCTTTATTATGTACCTCAACGAATGACTAGCTATCGCCCGCGACTCCGTCCGCGCGGAATTAACTTAATTAGAAGCGTATGTGCTCTTCAAGACTATTTTGTGCATCTATGCCGAATTTCTGTGAGATCTATGCAGCCGTTCTGGACATACCTTAAAATCCATCCATCTAAACATTCGTATTTATAACATTAGTTAAGTAATTAATAAAAATTAACAAGTAAGATATGAAACAAATTTCTCAGACGTGTCAATCTTTGCATCATCTTTTATAAAGATAACCAACATATTCAATTAAGAACTTGCACCGATGACCCTAAATATACTGAAGACAATAAGATAGGGTCTTAGAAAAATAGATTCGGGTCAAACAGACAGAATGTCTTTGTTATTTAAATTAATTGAATCTTATTATAACGAAGCAAAGGGGCCACCGTTGTAATAACATTTGTTTTTCTTTTTAAATAGTCGGACAAACGGCGATATGCTAAGGGAGAGATCATGAGAAAATTATAAATTATATGGGACAAGTGCTAACGCTACCGAACCGCAATAACATGACTTGAGTCTGATGACGTCATTGTACGTATTGAGGGGATGCAGGGGAAGGGAAAATATTTTCTTTCTGTGCATCCTCTCCTCTCGATTAAAGGTAGTCAACGCATATGCGTATGTCATGGGCAACGGTTACTTCGCTATTTCAGCGATTTCAGGTGGCCGCTCGCTCGTTTGCCACTTTATGATATATGTATATTTGTATAAGAGGACATTTATATTTTGATTTCAATACTGAAATTCCTATGAAAATATTAAAGTAAAGCTTACAAAAAAAACAAACATTCATGCGCATATTAAAATATCAAATATACGCTTCTTGGATAATAATAAAATAGTTAAAATATAAAAATATTAAAAGATGTATTTTACGATCTTATCGCAGCGACATCTGTCGTACAGTAGCACGAGTATACGACTTGTACGCCATCTATGAACGAATAGTTACTTAATTTTTACCGCCATCTATTAACAGTAATATAAAACGTTTGCCTGCCATCTCTTGGTCAAAATTTAAACTATTTTGTACCCTGGTGTTGAATAGTGAAACTAAAATATTTTAATATATTTTTTATTATTTTGGATTCTCACGGCTTTATTATAATCGAAGTGCTATTATTTTTTAATTTTATTTTTATTTTTAAAAAATAGAAACAACAATATCTCATATTTAATCTCAAAACACGTATTCTACTCCTCAATAGATGTCGCGATTAGACTGTGAACGAAGTCGAGAGGTCTTTGAGTTCCGATCTTCAGAGGGCCTGGTCGAGGGAAAGTACTCGTAACGTCCTCGTCAACATTTATATTGGGTTTGTACAGCTTTATTATGCTTCGGCATTGGCAAATCTTATACAAATTTGATATATAATTTTGTTGATTACTTTTCGAATATATTCATAAAAGACCCTAAGAAATGTAAAATCAACAGACAGAGATGCATCTCTGTATTCTCTGATTCAATAATTTCTAGCGAATTTCTTCTATATAAGATATTTCTAAACTAAATTATTTTTATTCCTGAATGTAAATAATATTTAATGAAAATGTATATGTACGTATATGTATGTATATGTAGTGAAGTGTATGTATGTACACTGAACATTTATTTAGGTAATAAATTGAGTTTACAAAAACTAACCAATTATCTACTACAATTATTAACTACACAGACCCGAAGAGAATCTATTAAACCATGATAGAATTAAACTTAAAACTAGAAAAAATAAAAATTCCCGTATAAAACATATCTACCTCTGTCTAGATAATGAGAGCGATGACGCTGTGTTTTGACAGGGATTTTGGTCTCATAAACCAAGGATTAGAAAGTCTTTTGATATCTCAAATACCCATTATGAGGTCAATAACAACTTTATTCTAATAAGAATCTATAAAACATTAAAATGAAACAATACATCAGAATAAACTTACAGTATCAATATTAAAAATCTCAACCAAAAACCACCATATGACCAAATAAACAACATAATAAAGTGCCTCAATAAAAACTCCAATATGCAAACACTCCAGCGATCCCCTGAGTGACGTGCGAAAAATATACAAGCCCTTTTTAAAGGCTACATTAATGTGAAAAGTCAACAACGTGAAAAAAATTAAAAAAAAAGTAAAACACTCCATCGCAAATCGTCGGACAAATTACAGTGTCGGGGGTATAAAAAAAAATATAAAAAATCACGTTAACACGGATGCGGGAACAGTGAATTAATCAGCAGCATAACCCGGGGGATGTGCGGGTAAAAATCTGTTAACCTCCCGCAGTTTTCCGACAAAAAATTGCCTTCGGACACTTAAATGGCCATTTGTATTCTCCGGACCGGCCCGTACGGGGATGGACGGGAAAAATGCCCGTTAAATATGTTCCACGTAGAGGGGAACTGGCTCCGAGATTTACTAGATGAAGTGAGTTTTATTTTTTCGTCTTTCTTTTGTTATTATTGGTAAGGAATACGCTTATGTGACATTTATTGTTTTGTTTAATACTTAGATTGTTTAAAAACAGCCTTATTTGAGTTTGCACGTTTGCTGATTTATTGTTTTTCCTTCCACATTATTATTAGTATAATCGTGAAGAAAATATGAATAGAATCTATATATATAAAAGAAAGTCGTGTTAGTTACACTATTTATAACTCAAGAATGGCTTTACCGATATGGTTGAAAATTGGTGAGGAGGT